TGCTGGACAGATCAAAGTTGCGTTGTTCCGGGTACTGGCCTCCGGGGAGATCAAACGCGGAGAGTACTCGCCGCAATTTGATGCTCATGACGACGATGAGGATAATCAGAGCGGGCAGGGCAACGACGCGGACATTGATCACACGACAAGCTTTGCAAAGCCCAAGACGCTGGATCCTAAGACAATCAGCACGCAAACGGTTACAGGCATTGATCCTTCTGACAAGCCGTATGCGATTTTTACTTTCATGTACCGAGGAGAGAGTATGTTTCGAGGATTGCTATGATTTCTCGCAAAGGTTGACTAACGGTCTACCAGGACAACTACAGAAGATGGGAATTCTGAAAGATCCCAAGTCTCAAGAGACTCCTGTTTCCGCGAAGCGACGATCGTTGCAAACCGACTTCTCCAGTATCGGCCCCCTCAAACCGGGCGGTGCAGTTGGATTCCTCAATTTCCGGGACAAATCTGAGAACAAGGACAAGAAGAAGAAGAACAAGAGCGTGGAAGACGACGACATGGAAAGCGAGGATGATGACGACGATTCCATCCTCGGCAAAGCAGACGATGAGGAAGCCAAAGAAGACAACCATGATTTGACCGCGGAAGATATAAAGCGTCAAGGAGAACTTGCGGAGGGTGTCCGTAAAATCAAAGTACGTCGCGCCGGTCTAATCGGGAATACTTTATGCTAACGGGTGCAGCTCAAACGTCAACACTCTTCTGCAAGCTTGGCCGGTGCTAGTAGCAGGGCCGATGCTGGGAGCCCCCTGAACTCTGGAGAGACGCCAGCCACTTCGAGCATATCGACAACGCCCCCTAATGCACCAGCAAGCAGCAATGCAGGCTCGGAAGCCGTAAAGGCTGCGGTGAATACACTTGATGGAGCATTTGTGGGTAGTCCCCTGAAGAAGCAACGAGCCAGCGTATCAGAAGCGGATGAAAGTTCCCTGCGTCGCCGGATGGAGTCTGGACTTTCCCAGGAGATCAGCGGAGCTCTGGGAAGCACTGGCGAGCAAACGCAGACTGGTACGACTGCGAATACGTTTGGGGGAAGCCTGAAGCCACAGGGGCCGGCGCTTCAGCAACCAGGACTGCACCAATCAGCACTCCAGCAACCAGCACTCCAGCAACCAGATGAGGATGAAGAGTTGTAGGGTGTTTGGGATTCAATGCTTGGAATCTACAGCTTAGGGACACATTGTGGTCAGTGACACTGGCATCTTTTCATGACCGTGACGGACTGGCGTAAATTGAGCGCATGGCTTGCACTATTTGGATTTATTCTTGCACTATTTTCTTATCTAGTGGAGGTATTTTTTGCTCAGTCGAAGCTGGGAAATTTATTTAGGTGATATTTTTGCTTGATGCCGACATGACGGGAGCAGATTGGAGGGGGGATACCACAGCGTCATTCCCGGGATGGCTTTTTTTCTTCTCCAAACATTTATTGACAGAGAATTATCGGGTGTGAATTGACTTGACTGTTGATGGGGAATTACTATAGAATTATGAACACGCAGGACAATATACCACCGGACTTTGAGACAGAATTTTTGTTTCGGTTGTATCCATTATATCCATGAAATAATGTGGTGTCGAGCTCCAGCTACAATGTGGAAACTTCTTCCACTCCGCGTCTGGCAGTCGAACAATCTTTTCTTGAATCCGAATCATCAGATCTCTATTCGAAGCAGACGATTCCTGAGCACCGCTAGCAATTACAGGATGCCGCTCGAACGTTCTACAGACCCTCTGGTCTGGATAGACTGCGAGGTCAGACATCTAAACAGCATCTCTTAAGATTGACTCCTACGGAGTACTGACTGACATCATAGATGACCGGTCTCAACCCCGAGACGGACACCATCCTCCAGATCTGCTGTTACATAACCGACGCCAACCTCAACCTCCTCGACCCAGAAGGCTTCGAAACCATCATCCGCCACGATCGCTCCGTCCTCGACTCCATGTCGCCGTGGTGCGTCGACACCCACGGTCGCACGGGGCTCACTGCCGCAGTCCTCGCATCCACGACTAACCCCGCCGCCGCCGCGGCGTCCTTGCTCGCCTACATCCAGCGATACGTGCCTCGTCCGCGCACGGCGCTGCTGGCGGGAAACAGCGTGCACGCCGACAAGATGTTCCTCGCGAAGGAACCGTACAAGGCTGTGCTGGAGTGGCTGCATTATCGGATTCTGGACGTGAGTGCGTTCAAGGAGGCGGCGAGGCGGTGGGGGGGTGAGACATTGTTAAAGGAGGTGCCGCCCAAGAAGGAGGTGCATCTGGCCAGGGAGGATATCTTGGAGAGTATTGAGGAGATGAGGTTCTATAAGGAAAGGTTGTTTAGGGAGTAGCTATTATTAGAATGGTAGGACATAGTACTATTGGATTATTGTCTAGCTATGGAGTCCTCCGTACTGGTTTCTGTGCTATGACCCGCTGGTCGGACGAGAGCTCTCCTAGCTACACTGTACCTTAGGAGCCATGTACCAAGTATGTATCTGTCTCGGTGAGCCAAGGAGATTTGACCAAACTTCGTAGCGAAAGGAATGGGATTAGCGCTCATAAAAGGATGTTATATCGACGAACAAGGTCAATGCTTGGGAGAACTGATTGCTGTGATGTGCTGGCAGCACCACAGTACAGTTGACTGGCTAGATACTATTCCAATACTATCTACCTGCATGGATCCATCCATCTTTCTCATTGGTATGGCAATATCCCGACTATTTCTTGTCGTGGACTCCCAAAGTCATAATAATGACGCTTGTTGCCCCCCTCTCTCTCAACCAGTGGTGATCGGCCCACCTTCCCTCCGCTTCGACTGAGACTAGACTCCTGTCTGTCTTCTTTGCGTTTCTGCTTCTTGTTCTTCTTCTTCCTTGAAAGTCGGTGAAGTCTTTTCCTTTCTTCTCTTCTCTTCGCTGCTCTGCTATCTCTGATTTACTGAATCACTATATATCCCTTACTTTTCTGCAGACTGTCTCTTTGACTAGTCGCCCTCCTCTACCCCACGTTGTCGCCCAAACAAACCAAACGTCATGTCGGTCCAGACAGTCTCCATCCAGCCTTTTGCCGATCAGAAGCCAGGAACGTAAGTATTTCAGTCTAGATTACCCTTGAAATAATCATTTTTCTCATAATGAGCAAATTGGCTGATTATCCTTGATTGTAGCTCTGGTCTTCGCAAGAGGGTCAAGGTCTTCCAGCAGCCCCACTACTCCGAAGCTTTCGTCACCAGCATCCTACTCTCCATCCCTGAGGGTGCTGAGGGAGCTTTCCTTGTCATCGGTGGTGATGGTCGCTACTACAACCCCGAGGTTATCCAGAAGATTGCCAAGATCAGTGCTGCCTACGGCGTCAAGAAGCTCCTGATCGGCCAGAATGGCATTCTCAGTACCCCCGCCGCCAGCAACCTGATCCGTGTCAGAAAGGCTACCGGTGGTATCCTGCTGACTGCCAGTCACAATCCTGGTGGTACGTGGAGCTTGTCTTCTGTGAAGTTCGAGCGCTAATTTTCCAAGGACCCAATGCCGATTTTGGTATCAAGTACAACCTGTGCAATGGCGCCCCCGCTCCCGAGTCCGTCACCAACAAGATCTACGAAACCTCCAAGTCACTCACCTCCTACAAGATCGCCGAAATTCCCGATGTCGACACCTCCACCATTGGCACCAAGACCTATGGTCCCCTGGAGGTTGAGATCGTTCACTCCACCTCCGATTACCTCAAGATGATGAAGGAGATCTTTGACTTTGATCTGATCAAGGAGTTCCTCAGCACCCACAAGGACTTCAAGGTGCTGTTTGACGGTATGCACGGTGTGACTGGTCCCTATGGTGTGGACATCTTCGTCAAGGAGCTGGGTCTGCCCCAGGACAGCACCATGAACTGCGTCCCCAGCCCCGACTTCAACGGCGGCCACCCTGACCCCAACCTGGTCTACGCCCATGAGCTGGTCGAGGCCGTGGATAAGAAGGGCGTTCACTTTGGTGCTGCCAGCGATGGTGATGGTGACCGCAACATGATCTACGGTGCCAACACCTTCGTCTCTCCTGGTGACAGCTTGGCCATCATTGCGCACCACGCCAAACTCATCCCCTGGTTCCAGAAGCAGGGTGTTTATGGTTTGGCGCGGTCCATGCCCACCTCCGGTGCCGTGGATCTGGTCGCCAAGGCCCAGGGTCTGCAGAGCTATGAGGTCCCCACGGGCTGGAAGTTCTTCTGCAACCTGTTTGATAACAAGAAGATCTCCATCTGCGGTGAGGAGAGTTTCGGAACTGGCAGCAATCACATCCGCGAGAAGGACGGTGTCTGGGCCATTGTCGCCTGGTTGAACATCATCGCCGGTGTCGCCAAGCAGAAGCCCAACGAGACCCCCAGCATTGCCTCGATCCAGAACGAGTTCTGGCAGACTTACGGCCGCACGTTCTTCACACGCTACGACTACGAGAATGTCGACAGCGACGCTGCCAACAAGCTGATTGCCAACCTGTCCGAGAAGGTCAACAACAAGGACTCTTTCGTGGGCAGCACTGTGTCCGGCCGCAAGGTGGCCGACGCGGGCAACTTTGCCTACACCGACCTGGATGGCAGCGTGACCAAGAACCAAGGTCTGTATGTCAAGTTCGACGACGGCAGCCGCCTTGTGGTCCGCCTCTCCGGCACAGGCAGCAGCGGTGCCACCATCCGTCTGTACATTGAGAAGTACGAGAGCGACAAGAGCAAGTTTGGCATGAACACTCAGGACTACCTCAAGGACAACGTGGCCCTTGCCATGTCTCTGTTGAAGTTCAAGGAGTACATCGGCCGGGAGGACCCTGATGTCAAGACTTAATTTCTTTTTTCCTGCAGCAAGCCGCGCTGGTTTTACGACGGTTAATATGACTCAGCAAGTAATTAAGCATGGATAGAATATAGTAGTATGGCAGTGCCAGATCAAATGCAGTCAAGTCATTAGTTTCAGCGTCATCATATCATAATCATTCATCAAGGAATCATGCGATGCCAGCTGCAGTAAGCTTTTCTGCCCACCACTCTTTCCACCGCACGACCTTTTCCTCCCGCCTGGCCTCCTCGGCCGCAAAGACCACGGCGTGGCTGCGAACTGCTTCTTCCAGGGTACAGCCGACGAAATGGGCTTGCGCGCGCTGCACATCCCACCCCTCATTCTCGACGGCATCCACAGCACGCACAAAGCTGCGCGCCAGCCCGTAGTCTCCTCCGCCGTGCGCCTCCTCCTCCTCCGGCGGCTGCTTGGGCACCTCGACGGTGGTCGTTGAGCGGGTCGCGAAATCATAGATGGAGATGGTCCGGCTGTCGTAGGCGATCTCGCCGCGCGTCCCGTAGACCCTCCCGCGGCGCTCGCACTGTTTCTCGGTTGGAGCAATCATATGGAAGACGGCCGTTTTGGCGCGTCGCCCCTCCGCGTGCGGTTTGTCCTCGTCCTCGTCCTCATCCTCATCATCCCATGTAATAGTCACGACCTGATCGTCGCAGACGTTATTGTCCGCCTCGTAGACACACCGCCCGTACCATGGTCGCTGAGCGATCTCCTCGTCGCTCATCTCCCCGCGGGAGTAGCCCTCGCGCAGGAGGGCCAGGAGATGCGCCTCGGCGTCCTCCGCTGCGGCCTCGCTCTCCGGAGCCGAGCGCAACACATCCTCGATATCAGGTACCACGATCTTAACAGGCCACCCGGTGTCGCCGCGGGACAGGTGCAGGTCACGGTAGATGCGCACAGCGCTGTAGATGCATTCCCGCTCTGCAGGGCAGGAGAGACAGTTTGTTGCTGCGCCGGCGGCAGGTGGTTTGCGGGCGCGCCGGAACTGAGTCAGCGTGCCGGTGGAGGTGATGCTGCGGGGGTGGTGCGTCTGCGTGCTTCCCTGTCCCTGCCCCTGCCCCTTCACATACTCCGCGGGGGATGATAGTAACCACATGATAAAGTCGATATCATGGCAGGACTTGGTAAGCAGGGAGCCGTCGCCTTGGGCCGTCGCGCGCCGCCAGTTGCCCCGGACGTAGCTGTGTGCGAAATGCCACCAGCCTACCGGCTCGGTGTGTTCCAGGGAGACGATGTCGCCGATGGCGCGGTCGAGGAGGAGGAGCTTGCGGAGGAGGATGTTGTGTGGGCTGTAGCGGAGGACGTGCCCGATGGAGAAGATCTTGTCTCCGCCGGAGGCACTGCCATCTGCACCGCTGGCGTGAGCGGCTGGCGACAATGCTTTATAAACAGCTAGACAATCACCGAGCGACAGCGCAAGCGGCTTCTCGCAGAGGATATGCAGCCCCAATGGCGCGAGGGCCGTCACGATCTCGACGTGTGTCTCGTCAAGCGTGCAGACGAAAACACCGTCTACCCCTCCCCCATCTTGCCCCTGAGACTGCTGCTTTCGCCGCGCCGTCTCCCACTCCAACCACTCCCTCCAATCACTGAACTCCTGGCCGTCGGCTGGCCGCCCCTTCTCGCCCCAGATATACTTCCGGCCGAAATCGGCGCGCTTGAAGGCGTGCGGTTCCGCGACGGCGTGGATACATGCGGGGGTGCTGGTTGTTACGGCGCGGGCGTAGGCGTTGCCGCGGGAGCCGGCGCCGATGACGAGGAAGCGGAGGCTACGCCCTTTCAAGGGTCTGGAGGGGAGGTTGTGTTCCGTTGTAGGTTCTTTCATGATGGGCGGTATGCGGATGCGGATGCGGATGCGGATGCTGATAGACGATAAGCAATGGAGGGGGAGAGGAATGCGGGGTGTCTACGGAGTAATTTATAGGTGATAATCGGGGATTGCGCTAAGGAGAGGCTTCATTTCGTTTCTCTGGTGCCTGTGAGACTAGGTTGAGGCACTGTAGAAGTTAAGCAGCTGCTGATGAAACATCGCGTCGCAACGTTGAGACAACGCTTGTAATCATGGATCGCTGGTTGGCTGCCGAAAACCAAGTAGAGATCGTCAAGGCTGCAGATCACGATCAACCACGACAGACACGTAGGCTACAAGATTGTGGGGACCATGGTCAGAAGACAATTATTGATTATCTTGTATTATTCGACAATTATCCAGCCTCGTGACGTTAATTGTATCTGTACACTTTAACGCCGCAAGGTGAAGAAATATCCACAGTAAACACGGGAGACTCAACCCGATCTCGCATTCGGAGATGAATGAAGAAGAAGAAAGTACATGAGATGTGAGTAAGTATAGCCAAAGAAGATATGAAATGGAAATAAAGTAGATTGGGGTATCCATAAAAGAAAGCAACAATCCAGACATGAGAGACATGGCACGCTGATGTGCAATATAAGTGTAGAGTCTTAAGGTTGACTTCAAATGGAGGTGCGTGCTCGAATCCGGTGAATCACTACCGGATGGGCTGTGACCATGGAGCCTGCGCCGGTCGTTGCGCCGGGCTGATATACGGCGAACCGCTGGTGATAGTTGCCTGGCGATCGACGAGGACAGTGGAGACTGCGGACTATAAGTCCGGTCGATTCGTACAGAAGATGCCTCTTATGCATTATTTGCAGCAGGGCATAACGTACTCAAACTGGTCACAATCCGTCAAGACTCTCGGTGAAGCGACTCCCCCGGCTGCCGTCGAAGCTTGGGTGACTCCGGCCCAGTCCGTCTGGCCGTTGTGGAATCGTGGGGGATAATGTTCCCCCCGGTTGAGGAATGGCACGCGAGGCAGCCGGTACGTTCACCACGCTAACGTTCGTCGAACTGGCAACCGGCGTCCGGGCGGGTGACGGTCGGAAGACAACGACCGACCCGGGTTCGTCCGCTTCCCGCGTGTAGCTCACATCCAGTGGCATTCCGTACGGCATTGAGGGAGGAGGCTGAGAGATGACCGATCGAGGTTGGACGGGTGACCCCGGGGCTAGGCTCATGCTGGGCTCCGACGCGGTCGGTGATCCCTGATCAAACCCGCCACCATAGCCATCCCCTCCTGACTGCAGCACCGAGGGGATCTTGCGACCCGAGATCTTCTGGAACCCGCGTTCGCTCGTGGTGGTAGAGGTGAAGGTACTGTCGTCAGACCGCACCGTCTGATTCGACTGCCTCCATCGCTTCATAAAAGCCGGAGCAAAGTACGACGCCGTGAACAGGGGGTCACGGCTCGAGCGTCGTGACGCCATCTCGGTGCGTGAAACAGATCCTCCTTCTCCAGCCGTGCCGCCAGTCCCATCACTCGCTGGGAGACCACGATTCGGTCCAAACAAGGCCGTCTTGCGCCGTCGCAGCAGGAAGAGAAGCAGGCCGAGCAGGAAGAATGCGCCAGCGAGGCCTCCAACAACTCCGCCCACAATGCGTTTGGTAGTGACGCTGTTCAAGCCACCACCAGAGGAGGAAGACGTCGTCGCTGAGGGAGCTTGGCCCGTAGCAGTTGCGCCTGAATCTCCACCTCCAAAATACGTTCCCGTACTATACAGGTCCGCAGTGGTAGTGGCTTCTGGCACGGACGTGCTTGAGTAATCACCAGAGTCGCTAGAAGTGCCGCCGTAAGAACCGTACGAACTGGTACCGTTGGTGTTGGTCGAACTAGAAATCGTACTCGTCGAAGTGGGCTTTGGCGAGGCTATAGGGGTCGAGCTCAATACCGCACTCGAGGATTGAGCACTAGGTATTAAAGCGGACGACTGGGTGCTACTCGCAGAGTTAATGATAGCGATAGACGTTGGAACCGAAACGGATATTGAAACCGATAAGTCTAATGACAAAAAGACAGAGGTGGTGGGTATGCTCGTCAAATCGTTAGCGGTTGTAGTAGCCGAAGTGTCCGCTGTGAAAGAAGTCGGGCCAGGCGACGGGGTAGGAATCTCAATTAACGAAGTGGTCGACGGCACGTCCGCGGGGGGTGTCTCGACAGGAACAGAGACGGCTGGTTGACTGGAAGCAGGATCCGATATGGGCGTTGGAAGAGCCGCAGCGGTGTCCGGAGGTGCTTCGCCAACACTGGTTACCGCGGTGGCCAGCGCCTCCGTCTGAGATCCTGGAGGAATGGCGGAGGAATCCTGACGCTTTCCTAGCGAATAGTCCGAGTCCTCGTGCGATACCTCCCCTGACGACCCATGATGCTTATTATGGTCCAGGACGTGCGCCTTTTTCATGCTGGAGATCAACGACCCTGCGGGCTCTTCCCCTGGTTGGCTGGCTGGTTCGACTCCCTCGTGACGTGTTCGATGCTTCTGTTTCATCAGCCTGGTAAGCCGCTGACTCCGGGAAATGCCGTTGTGTGCCATTCTGGCGGTTGTCCTCCTGAGCGTTCCTAATCCCCCAACAATTGCATGCAAGCCTGGTAACTGAATAAAATGCAATGCTTCAAGTGAGGTGAAACTATTGGCAATCGTTCAGTCGTCGATAACGCACGCAGTCTCTGCGTGCACAGCGCCTGAGATGATCTGCAAAAGAGGGAAAGTAAGATCGATTGATGCAGGGCACTAATTGAATTAAACTGAACTGGTATCGAAAGAGTGTTGACGGATAGACCATGTGCCGAAAGGAGTGAGCGACGGGTCTACAACGTTGTATCAAGCGAAAGGAGCAACGAGTCGGTCTGTAACGAGTTTGAAACAGGCAGAATCGTAGACCGTAGCGAAACCAAGGAGTGGACGTCAGCTGTCACCGTGCAGCCGACTAATTGTACAGAAATGGAAGACTCAGGGTCATAAATGTCTAGAAGGTTGACCAGAAGCGTTAGCTCTTTGCGTCGTTGCTGCCGGTGAATCGACAAAGCTAGGAAGCGAGCACACACACCTTAAGGAAAGAATATGAAGCGAAAAGATATAATGCAGCGATCACGATTCCTATTCGTTCCTCCCGAGGATCTCAATCCATGCCTGTGGCGGAGGAGATATGCGCAGGATTCACCACGATGAGCTTCCACTCAAGCTTGCGACTGCTGAATTTCTCTGCCGACTTTCCCAGCGGTTGACGGTTGACGGTTGACGGTCGACGGATCCACGCTTTGAAAGGTACCCAGGTTCCGGACCCAAGGATCGCTCTCCGTTCTTTTTCGTTCTCGGCACACGTCTGCAAGAGTTAAACCCGTGGACTGAGATTTCCGCTCACTGGTCTGGTTATACCAGCGCCCAAATCTATCAGTGAGCGCAGCCAGGTCGAAAATCGAGGTTACTCGCTCGGCATCCGATCATAGGGGGGAAACGGTGGTGATGAGGGAGGGGGGGAGGGAGGCGTAGCCGCCAAGGGGAAAAGGAAGAGAGAGGGGAACGAGGAAATGAGAAGAAGCGAAGAAGCGAAGAGGCGATCGTAAAACAGACGGACGGACTAGACTAGAGTAGTCTCGTTTTGAATATTTACACTAGCTAAAGTAGTTGGGAAGTTAGCCGACCTGACCAGGTTGTTTGTTGGTGGTGATCGATCAGGCCAGGCACAGGACAGGACAGGAGCAAGAGCAGGAGCAGGGAATAATAATAGACTAGAATTAGATACAGGCTCACGAGTCACAGCGTTTTCCCGGGTCTTAGACTGTTTTCTCTTAGACCCTCCGAGGCGGCTGCTAGTCTCGATGGCCTCATTGGGCCAATTTCAAAATTAATTAAGGTACATCTCCTCCGTACTCAGCTAGACTAGACGGCACGAGAATCTTCTGTTCTGCTGTCCCCCGATGCTCAATGATATTAGTTGTAATGGTTCTCTGCAAGGTTGATTGCATAACTAACAGTTCAGACATAGTCATCATCTCATATTGTCCGAGACATAGCAGATCGCCATACTATTTTGCTGCAGCCTGCAGATGATACCGAGAGGTTCTGGCCCGAACAAGGATAATTAAAAAAAGAGACACGCCCCACACAACTGTGGGTGGAAAAGCGTCACTCGCTTACCCACTAGTCCTGTTATGGTCTAGCCTGCAGACTGGCCCGAACAGTGTTTAATTAGATCTCGGTCTGTGTAAATAAACACAACAGTAATCCGTACCGCAGAAAGACGGGTCCCGTACGTATTATTGCCAGTTGGATCATTTGGCTACAAGTCTTATCACTCATCTGCGCAATCCAAATCAGTTGACAAAAACATGTCTGTCCTGGAGTTAGTTAAGATACACACAAGTCAACAGTAAGCAGTCTACACGAACCATTAACCCCATTATAATACCCCGTATGACCACCCATCAGCCAATGCAGTAAGCGACCTAGTTAATGCACCCCTGAGGCTCAGACTGCAACTGGAGGCAAGGGGACTCCCTCTATCGTCGCGTGTAACCAATAGCCTAAACCTGCAAGGTACATCTCTTACAATCCTACCTTTTCTTACTGCAGTCTGAGGCACAAAGCACGAGTCGAGTCACGTCTCATCCCAGGCCCCAAGCCATTTTCTCGAGTAACATTGTATCACCGTGTATTTCCGTCCGTTCTTGTCTCGCAGCCTTTTGCATGCCGCCCTCGAGGCGATAACAGTGCATCAACATCTCGGTAGATAATGATTACGTCCGGAGGGCTGACGTACGACTTTAAATCCTGCCGTCGACGTCTTCCTCCGACCCCACTGCTATTTATATGTACTCGGCCCATTCAGATATAAATATCAGTTTCAAAAGACAGTCTCTTAGTCTCTTCCCGTGTGATGGTGTCATTATCCGGAAAATAATGATCAAGGCCCACCGACCCTCCTTCGAGAATGCCATCGAAGGAATGGAACCCGTCCGCCAGGGT